AGTATGTCCTACGTGAATATTGTGCTATGTGAATACCGAAGAAGGATGTGCTGCCCTATATGAAACTTTAGGGAAAAAATTTAGTAAGAGCCTAAGTGAAATCTTGAAGACTAAGGCCATAATGGAACAGGGGGATCCTCTACCTCAAATGCTTGAAGGTTCTTTCCTCTGAACTCTTGTCATTACCTAATGATACCACTAATTTCACTTTTATCATATCACTTTCCATTGTCTTAATTTTCATTTGTTTTTCTCACCTTTCCGGAAAAAAAAAAGTGTCACAGGCAATTCGAATCCTGCCTTATCTCTGTACAATCTGCCCTTATCTCTTTGTAGAATGTCCATAGGACCTAGAGGTCTTGAGCATAAGAGATGCTCCCTAATTAGGGGTGAAGATTTGGTCTGCTAGGTAGTTCTCATCTTTATACCATAAGACACATCTGCTGCTAATGACTGACTCTGCCAGTTGACCACAGAAGAATGAGAATCAAAACAAAAACTGGAACACAACTGAGAAAGTAGATTCTAAACATTTTTTATCACCATCTCTATTATCGGTCATTTTAAAATTGTTATGTAGGATAACTTTTAGATCCTACTGACGAGAAGCCACGTAGAGAGAACTCAGAAATACCGGATGGGGGCATAGGCAGGCTGGCAGCGCCATATACAAGCTGTGTGATCTCAGGATCAGCACTTGGCCTCTGCGAGCCTCGGGCTCTTCTGTAACATACGGAAAACTGAACTCTCAAGAAACTTACATCAGATACGCGAAATTTATTTGGCAAAGAGTAAAACACAACTTAGTGGTAACTATGACTGAATAACTAGCTTGTCTCCAAGATACTCTTTCACCATGATAAAGATCCCAAAGATTTTATAAAGGAAAAAAGGAGTCTTTCTTTTACATATTTTGCTTATACTCATGCTACTTTGTAAAACTGTCTTCTTTTGTTGAGTCTTATAAAATATTTCTCCCAGGTAGATATGAGATATTATTGGAAGAAAAAAATCCTTTTGTAAGTTGGCTAAAGACTAAACAATCCAGACCTTGGGAAATGTATCAATTATTCAGACTGTTTTTGTCTAGCTTGTTGGACACATCAGCATTTCTCTTGAAGAGAATGGATGGCAGTGCTATCAGCCATTCTGGGGAGCGTCTAACCCTAATAAAGAAATAAGCCCAATCCTTCGGATGGGGATAGAGCAGAGGGGAAGCACTGCTTGCTCTCTGGTCCAGGAGTAGTTGGGCCCCAACATCCAGGAATCTTAAGTGTGTCTGACAGTAAGCCAAGTGGATGCAGGCCACCTTTGCTTCTCTTTGGTGGCAGCACGTCTCCCTATAGCAACAAAAATGTGATTGCAGCTTCAGGGAGAGTCTAGCCTCTACCTCCCTGAACCGCATATCTGAGATCAAGCTCTCTGAGTGAGCTGGAAGAACATTTAAGGCTGACGCTCTGAACCCAAGGGCAGTCCCTCCTAACTGTCCCTACGGAGGGACAGTTAAGACTGCAGATGGCTGTGCGCAGTAGAGTGGCTTTCTCATGCCAGTAATAACAGCCTGGTGACAAGATGAAAAATAAAAGGTGAAAGAAACTGAGGAACTCATCCTAGGGCATACAAGAAATTCTGGGGAGGATACTGTGAGTCAGGTTAGTTTCTGACAGAAACCATGTGGGTTCATGTTTTAATAATTTGGGTTTAAAAAAACACCAGTGTAAAATTATTTTTACATCACAGTCTAGTGAGGCCACCAACATTAAAGTTATACAATCACCTTAAATTGTGTTGAATCTGCATTGCCAATGAGTGTTAATTATGAATATTTATGGATAAATATGTATTATTATATAAAAATTTTCAAACATATAGTTTTCCCAATGTAAGATAAACTTTGCTAAATTAGTAATATCTAATCTCTACAATTTCTTCTTGTATGTACATACAAAGCACACGCTATGGTGCAATTGTTTTAGAACAATTTTTAAGAAAATGTTGATATAAAAAAATATGTATTTTCTCTTTCTTTACACTCTCCTCATACATACACATAGCAAAAAAATCAAGAAGAAATTAATGAAGATATCATAATGGTAGAATTAGATTTGGGGGATTTTCTTAAGAGGAAAATTTACATTTAAGTTAACTCTGGGTCAAGAAAAAAAAGAAAAGATGATCGTTTTCAACTCAGATGCTGAGACAGACAGTTACAAGAAGAGTGTATACCAAAAAAGCTCCGGACGAAAAATCACCAACCTGTCAAACCATCCTTTACTGTATTCACAGATTTATGCACATGTAGAGAGTCATTAATTCTTTACTAATGATAAAGATAAATAATCGACATATATATATACACACACACAGTATGCTAAAAGAATATAAAACAGTGGCTTCAGAGTTGAAGGTTTGTTTGATATTAAACAACAGTTAGAAGTTAGTAAAATAAAACTAAAACTCCATTTAGGCAACACATACAGGTTTGGAGCAGTGTTATGCCCAACTCCATGATTAACCCAAATCTTTTAATATCTTTTAAGATTCCCAAACTAAAGCCAAGATTACTTTGGTCTAGAGTTGCTTCTTTCTGCTATCTTATTATATAGCATATTGCACTTAATCTTAAATTCCTGATTTATGGTAGAATTTACGGATTTTCCCACTGGGATCCTAAAACTCTTAATTTGTTTACATATTTTGGCTTTTTTCCAGATTTATGTGACTAGTCACTGATCCAAGAAACACACAGGCGGAAATGTCTTTGAATAGCATTCTTTTACTATCAGGTCATACATATCTCCATTCAGTAAAACAGGCCACAGAATTCCTGAACTGGGTTGTTCAATAATACATTTTTAAAACTCAGGTGGGATTAAAGAGAATGATTTTCTATTCAAACAAGAGAAAAAGGAACTATGAACTTAACAGGGTCTTAAAAACATACACACAGGATGGAAAAGAAATTCCTCCAAACTATTGAAAAAATTAGTGACACAGATTTTTATCACCTATTTCCTCCTCCTCAAAGGGATGTTTTGTTATCCACTTAGGCTGAAGAGCTTGCTTTCAATTAAATTAAGGGCTCGGATGTAAAGAATAGAAAAGAAAAAGAAAAAAGAAAAAGACTGACATACCAACAAACCAACCCATTTCAAGAGCCCACTTTATAATGAAGCAGAACAAAGAACAGAATGGATAGCTCCAAATGGCAAAGCTCCAGGAACCACATTCAGTTAATCTGCTAGATGCTTTGCCAAACCTTATCCAAATAACCCAATTACTACAGTCTACAGACCAGTGGAAATTCTTACAGAATTGGCCTCCATGTGGAATCTCAAATCACGTCTCTACTCAGGTCAAAAAGATCACTAGGATTGCCATGTGGAAGTTTTGCCTCTGGGCTTAACTGCAATTTTGCAAAACGGAAAATGAGGGAACACATCCAGGTAAAATTCTGGATGGAGATTTAAATCAGTTTTTTTTTTTAAACCTCAAGTAAAGAACAGTCCCTCCGAGTTGTAATCCAAATTCTGGATTTCCAAACTGAGTTTGGCTTCCAGTGTGCTGGATGATCACGAGTCCTTAATCTCTGCATCTGCTTTTTTACAGTTGTCATAACACAAGGCTGATACAGACCTACCTCATAGAGAACCTGCAAGGGTTTATTAAGGTTAAACTGGAAGAAAAAAAGTGCATTAGACAAGCCAGGGTTTGTCCATGCTGCTAAATAGACCCAGATGTTTTAACAACTGTTCAGTTGGTAGCATCCTAAGTAAGGAATAATTTGCATAATACACTTCAGCTGTAAAGACTTTAAAAAAAAATACCCAATTACTTTTATTTTAATTCTATAATGTTTTCCTTAGGAACAGGAAACCTGTTTTTTCTTTTGTTTGTTTTTTTTTCCCATACACACTAACCTGCAATAATCAGATCTTATATTTTGTGCTGTACAAATTTAACTTGGTGGTGGTAATATATATGTTAATAAAGGCTTGATTAAAAAAATAAGCTCTTTATATAACAGAGTTATTTAAGGATTTGTGATAAAACCCTGCACAATATTTTTTAGGTTATTTTTTAAATCTTAGCAACCCAGTGTTATCACATGTAGTTGTCAGAGCCCTTTCTCAACCTTTATAGTAAATACCACTTGTAATATGTCACTTACCTAATCAATATTTATTAAGAAAGGCAAACTGATCAATTTCTTTCATAAACTGTGAAATTCAGATTTCAGCTCCATGCTTTAAAAAATGTAATTCAGATTATTCATCCATTCACCAAATCAATGTTGAGCATACATTTTGTGCCAAATACTATTCTAGTCACGGCAGGTATCATATGAAGATGAAAAGTTCCTGCTCTCATAGAACTTAAATGCTAATGCAGAGGTGAAAATTAGAAATATGCGTGGCAAAGGAACACATTTTGAGGAGGTAATTTACTAGACTGATGAGCAAGTGAACAAAAAGGGCTGTTTATATTAGTATTTAAAAGAATGGAATTCCAGGCTGAGAAGACACTATATTTGTTTCTGGATACCAGTGACAGAATAGGAAAAGTCAACACTGCATAATGAAATTTTCAATTTACAGTAACACCAGGAAAGAATAAATCACAGCTAAGAAATATGGATAGTGTTTATAAAGGCTGTAATTTCAAACACAGCATTGAGTCCACTCTTTGCTGGTCAGTGTGGCTTCTCCTTTGAATAATATTATTTTTAAAACCTTTTTAAATTTATCATTTTTTAAGTAAAGTATTGACATACAACATTATATTAATTTCAGGTGTACAACATAATGATTCAATATTTGTATATGCAGCAAAATGATCGCCACACTAAGTCTAGTTACCATCTGTCACGATATAGAATTACACATTTTTTTTTCTTGTGGTGCAAAGTTTCAAGATTTACTCTCTTGGCAACTTTCAGATATGAAGACATTTTTAAAAAGCAAAGATTCCAATAATTCAGGTGAGAAGAGAAAAATTACCTGGTTCTGCTCAGGTAGAGCTCACCATAGTGGCAGCACCTTCACCTCCAAATTTTTCCATCGAGCAAACATTGTGAACATATGTGCTCAGGAGAGTCTCATAGCAAGGGAAGACTTCATACTCCTCATGCCTGGGCATTTCTCTAGACCGTCCTTTCTTTTGTGAAGATGGTGAATGGATTTCAAGTTCTCTCTTCATGTCTGATTGTGCTGCTGGGGCAGAAATGTCTAAATGTAACTCCGGTTCATCAAGAAAGTATTTGCTTCTACTTTTTCATCTTATACTTCTGTTATCCAAGTATGTCGGAGCATCCACTGCCTGCGGAAAGCCCAACAATTTTAGAGCTCACAGAGAGAGATGGTGCTGATAATAATTGTATGTATCAGTCTTTGCAGGTTTTACTGGCACTAACATATGTTTGTGTATTGAGGGTGGTGATGGGCAAAGGAAAGGAAGACTGTAGAAACACTGAAAGCTAATGGGAGTGAATTGTGGATAAAGCTAATGAGCTTTGCCCATTTTACTTCTCTTGCTATTAAAGGAAAAAAATGATGCTTGAGAGTCCCATCTCTGAGAGTCATTCTTTAAGGGATCTACAAACAGTCTGTGTTATAATACTATATAGAATCATGCTTAGGAATATAAGCTCCAAAGTCAGACAACCAAATTTGAACTTCATTTCTCCCATTTGCTGCATGAGTGACTCTAAGTTATTCAGAATGTATGTGCCTTGGTTTTCTCATCTTTTAAATGGAGGTTGGTATACTACCTAGCACATAAAGTTATTATGAAGAGAAAAAAGTTATGCACATGTAAAGCACTAAAAACAGTTTCTGGAACATGGTAATCTCTCAATAAATGTTAGCTATTTTGATTAGCTATGATTTTAATTGCCCACATTTTAACTCAACATCATTTCAGGCCCAAGAGTGCTTAACAACTTCTGAAAACTTTTCTAAAACACTCACTCTATTTTCTTCTTTTAGAAACTATTGTCTGGAGGAGGCATCCAGAGAACCTTCAAATACTCTGGGATCATTGCCCTAATGAACATTTCTACTTACCAACATTCTGCTTCAGCAAAACATGTGTCTCCATATATATCCTAGACCTGGAAGAGCAAATATACCACATACTGCCATAGATTTTTCTTTCCTTGCTTACCAATCGGTGTTCAATAAAGAGATTCAAAACTCAGTACTAGCAAAAACAAGCAAACAAAAAGCCAATGAGATTTTTCTAGCTCACCTGTCTTCTGGAGGTCACCTGATCGGGGCTGGGTGGCCCTGCCGATCTCAGCTGGGCTTCTTCATCCATCTGTTCATTGGCTGAGATTACTTCATCTGGGCTCCGGTTTTCTCTTTTAGTAGCAGCAGGCGAGGCTGAGCGCCTGCATCTCATGGTGGTGGCAGAAGCGGAGAAGGGCAAGCAGCAACCTACAGGGTCTCAGTGGGGCACTGCTACTTCTGACTCACCCTATTGGTCAAAGCAGGTCACATGATGAATCCCAACGTCAAGAGGTGGACATATATTTCCCCTATGGAAGCTCAGTGGAGGGAAAGAATATTTCTGAATAATTAAACATACCACACCCATGCAGACATTATTAAGTGGTCACAACATTCATAGCCAGTGTGACTCAGTATAGCTTTTATATCCTCAGCAGTGACAATAATTGCTGGGAAACCTGCTAAATATGAGGGAAAGAAGAAAAAAATCTAATTGAGACTTCTGGTTTTGCAAATTTTTAATATATGTTACAGAATAACATATCTGAATCTCAAATTATATCTTTCTGTAATGTAAAACATCATTGTTATATTTTGAGAATAAATGTTACATTTAGTTGTTCAGTTGAGACAGTTACTTTGAAAAAAACATGTCCATATACACTAAATATCAATGCAAATTGTCATTAGATTTTAAAATATCAATAATTTAGTCATCAATTACTTGTATTTCATTTTTAAAGAGAACATTTAAAAATTTAATACTCTTCATTTAAAAAAATCATACATTTTTCATAATTTTGAAACTAAAAATATATAAGAATATATATAAATATGATGCCAAACACCACCTACACAGCCATTTCTAGTTCTCTCATTTTAAACTATATTAATAAATCCTAGAGCAATATGCATTTTTCACTTATCTGTTTATTTTTGAACTTTAAAAATAACTTCAATCTTTCTTTTCCCAAATGACGTTAACATTTTAATTAAAATATTAATGATTTATGCTTCTTGATATAGTTTCGACACTAAATGGAATTAAAATGTACAGGTATAAGGTAAGAAAAAGTTCTACTGCAACTTGATTTTTATAAAATGAATACTGTTTATATATAAAGTAAAATTTGATGGTTACAACTGACCCTTAAACAATGCTGGGGTTAGAGGCGCCCATCCTCCAGGCAGTTGAACATCCATGTACAATTTACAGTCCGCCCTCTGTATCCGTGATTCACTCCTTATCTGCAGATTCAACCTATCGAGGATTCTGAGATGCTGCAGTATTTACTATTGGAATAAAAACCCATGCATAAGTGGACCAGTGCAGCTCAAACCCATGCTGTTCAAGGGTCAACTATATAATAAACTAGCATGAGAAAAGAGAGTTTTCCTGGTAAGCCAATGCAAAATGCTTTAAGTGACCACAGTTAGAATGGCTCCAAGTAGAATACAGGGCCTGACTTTTATCTGTAGATGAGTATGATTGCAACAAGTCATCTCTCAAATTGGGCACTTTCATGGAAAAAAAAAAAAACTACCTCTTACCAATATCAGTAATTAATCAAACCATGGATCACACTGGGTTAACTTCCTAAAGAGGCTAACTTTAAATTGCATTTAATTAAGTAGCGTACATTTAGAAAGAAAACTGTCTTTCTGTAAGTTTTTCACAGGTAGAAAGCAATTTCAGCAACCCTGAGGAATAATTACTATTATTTTTTAAGAGATTTTGGAAAATCAAGTGAAAATGGACAGTTCTCATGAAAGTAATTAAGTTTCCAGAAGTGGCAATGAAAATATAACTATAAAGATGCCCCTGGATCTCTTAACAAATAAAAACAACCCATGTGTCTTTCTCTCTTGGCCAATAATTCTCTTCATTCCTTTCATCCCCAGCTATAATTTCTGTACGTTGGGAAGACAGTTGAAAAGCCCAAAATTCAGGACTTCCCTCTGGTAACTGGATTGATCTGTCCCTCCCATCCCTTCTTCCAACACTCTTTTGGAGCCTCTGGCTCTCCTCCCACGGCCTCGCTGCTGGATGTCCTTTGCCCATAATCACTGTTACACAGGAAGGTAAGCTTAAAAGTTATTCTCAGTGGTCCTGAGTTTAAGCTCTGCCTTTTGCTACTAGGCAGACACGAGCCTTTGGAGAAGGCGGTGAAGGTCTCTGAGCTTCATCTTCCATCTAAACGGTAAAGGATACAGGGAGATTGCTTTAAATTGTTTTCAGTGCTTTGAATCACTTTTTTTAAAGAAAAAAATCAAATGAGATGATGCCGATGATGATGACTTCAGGCACAACTTAGCATTTGATTAATTAAATCTCCTTATACTAAATGATTCCAATTGCCTAGGGAAAAGGCATACTAACTGTTCTAAGATAAATTCTTATCCGGCGTAACACCCCATTATTAAGTTGAAATCCAAGGACTCAGCTAGCCTCAGTAGATACAGTGATTTAGCTTGTGCCACAGAAAGGCCCAGTTTCCCACCATGTACCTAAAGGCACTCACCCGCTCTTTAAAACCGTAACAACTGTTTCCCCTTTCACCTTATGAGCACTTTTAAATTCTTAAAACATTTTCATCTGAAGACATCAACAGGTGCACCACGTGCCTTTACGATACAGCCCACCTGCCTGACCGACAGAGACGTTCACACCTTGTCCATGTACTTTCACCCTCAAGATTTTGAATTAAGTGATTTATTTTGTACTTCTTTTCCTCCTTAGAGAGAGAGAGAAAGCGGTGAGCCCAGGACTAGATAGATCCAAGCCTACATGCAAACAACACATTTCATGTGGAAGAATGAATTGCAGTAATTGCTCCAGGCCCATTATACTCTACTATCATGAAATGTAAAATACAGACTCTCCTACTACTACAGACACTTGGGAAATCCGGAGAAAATCGTCCAACTATTAAGAGATTGCACGAGGTAGATATTTCACAGTCTACCTTTAACTGAAAACATTGCGTGCAACTTCTGTAGTTCCCACATGCAGCCTAAGCCCTGGCACAATCTAATCCAACGTGTTTTTTACAAAGTAAATGTATATATAGAGTAAGGAGCATTCTAATGACTAGGCTCACAAAATTATAAAATGTAATGAAAGGGAAAATCATCAGTATTTAAGATGTAGGTACCAGTGGAAATTTAAAAGAATAAGAACTTGACTTAAAAAGGTAGCAGTTATCTGTATCAAAAGAATAGTTTAATTATTTGACATGCAGTGGACTCGCTTTCTAGAAGAAGCCTAGCTTGATATTGACCAAAATAACTTCATTTTTATGAAGCTTTCCAGTATTCTTTTTAACTTACTCAGAAAAACCAGAAGCCTCTTAAAATCATGTAAGTCAAAACTGTATTTCATAAAACAAGAAAAACATACACTAAACACGAGAAAAGCAGAAGGAGAGTCCATCTCCTTTAGGGATCTAGAGTAACGTAAGGCTAATGATGAAGATACGTGAACTGGAGTTCACTGCTCTCTCTCTTTTTTTAAGGCATAAAAAATTAGAATGCAGTTCAAGCTAACATATGGAGAGGGGACAATGTTAGAATTAAGAATAATTCTTAGTCTTATTTATTAGTTTCATTCTAATGTGATTTACTAATTAACATAGAGATAATAGTTGACATTTTCTAAATTCTCACTCGTTGGAAGAATTAGCTGAGCCACCATTATTTCTATTTTACCTTTCATGCCTTTGTGAAAAGATTCTTTATGTGAAGGCTATTACTGTCCACTTACCTATTCTTTTCTGGTTCAGGCAATTTATAATTAACATGCACAGAAAGATTTTTTTTTCCCACAGATAAAAACATCGATCCACTTTTATAACCTAAGCACCACATCCTACAAATTATAAAAGACATAAAAGACAACTTAAACATTCTACCACACACAATACGGAGGGAAGCACAAAAGAGATACTTAGGTAACCATTTCTAAGAACCCAGTAGGTGGTATTCTCCATGTTCTTCATGCTATGAGTAGTTGGCCAATGAGTCCAGAATCTCTTCCTTTGATTAAGGTAGCAATAATGGTGGCACCTTGCCTTAAACTTTCCTGTAGCTTCTGTTCATCCTGATAGAAAAGATAAAACAGTAATTATTTTAGAAAGAAGATATCAACCCACTAAATTTAATAAGGAGCTGCTTTTCTTTTTAAAAAAAATTTGTTTTTTAAACACTTTCCCCCCAACTTTATGGAGGTATAATTGACTTGTAACATTGTATAAATTTAAGGTGTACAATGTGATGATGTGATACACATATATACAGCAAAAGTATTACTAAAATAAGGTCAGTTATCATATCAGTCACCTCATATAGTTATCATTTTTTTGGAATGAGGGGTGAGAACATTTAAGATCTACTTTCCTAGCAACTTGCAAATATACAATAAAGTATGATTAACTGTAGCCACCATGCTGTACATTAAATTCCCCTAACTTACTCATCTCATAACTGGAAGTCTGTGTTCTCTGACCAGCATTCCCTCTTTCCCTCCGCTCTTCAGCCCCTGCAACCACTAAGCACAGACGCTGTTTCTAGGAGTCCAAGGAGCCACTTTTCAAGGCTACTGTTCTCTGGGCTCAGCATTCTGTAGAACTCAGACCACAGCCACTGGCAAGGACTTGGTGCCCCAAATACATAAGAAAGACTTTTGTAAGCACTTTCATTATACAAAAAGTACCTGCTGAAGGTACCAAGAAAAACGCTGACACAACTTCAAATGCTAACAAAATGAAACAGAAGATTATTTTCCCTTAACCCAACATCTGACCAACTCTGGCTCTTTACTGAAGTGTGAATATTTCATTGATGATGCAAACCTTTTCTTCACCTTTTTTTCTGAGTGTCCTCAACAACAGACCTGGTCAGACCTGCTTGTCATTTCTGAAGTAAAGATCAGGCAGATTTGTGAAATGAGCTATCTCACAAGTTGCTAAAATGTGGTTTTGCCTTAAAATCATATTGCCTATGAAATTCTGATTTTTTTTCCTAATTATTTAGGCTCCTTAAAGGGATGAGGGGATGATAATATGAAGGGAAAATAAAAGAGGAAACAGAGGTAATATCTGGAGGTCCCTGTGTTATGAAATGTGCTGTGTTCAAAAAGAGGAAACTGGTAACCAATTTCTGCACTTTGGCTTCATCCTTAATGCCTTATCCCAACACTTACTGTGTCACCAGGACCTACTGCTTCTACCTCCTTAGTGTCTCTTGAATCCAGACACTCACACTGCTAGCGCCCACATGATACCTCTGGTCCTGAAGACCTGAAACAATCTCACAGTCTCTCTAAAGTCTGTCCTCTTCTACCACCTTTCCCACAAAGCAGTCAAAACACTTATTTTAAATAATAAAAATCTGGTCACATCAGTATCCTGCCTAAAATCCTTTGAAGGCTGCCTTTGAACTTCAGGATCAAGTCTGAACCCTTTACCTGGTAATGGAAATAGTCTTTTACCCTTCTAGCCTCTTCTTGCCATTCCCTCAGAATCTCTCAGGTCTCCAAGCCATGCAGAACAGTGAAAGATTGTCCAAGCCATTTTTCAAGCTTTCATCCCTTCGCACCAGTTAATCCCTTTGCCAGAAAAGCTGTCCCACTCCCTCCCTAGCCTCGCTGAGACCGGTTACTCCATGAGGTTTGACCCAGATATCAGTGACTCTTGATACCTCCCCTGGCTCCTATTCTCCAGTCCAGGGTGCGTGAGGTCAGTCTATATGTCTCCACAGCTGTGAATTCCCCTACACACTGAATTCTCATGGCCGTTTTAGCTGACCATCTATTCCACCAGATGACGAGTTTCTTGATGTAAAGAATATTTTATCTTTGAATATGAAAAAGTTATCTCAATGCTTAACACATGGCAGCACTCCAATTTATAACAAATTCAAAGCAGAGGAGGCTCGGACTATGATAGAGATATAGTCACCCTTTCAGTTTGACTCATCTGTTAACAATGACCACTATTGGTTTACTTCATTCACTCCTATTTACATATTTAGCCAGAAGTCTGGCGATACTACAAAGAAGAACATGATCACACAGCCACCATGTCGCCATGAGCTCAGGCCTTGGGTCTCTCATCTACGATGGCAGTAGTAAGAGGGCGCCTCTGCTTAAGCTACTCCTTTCCAGCAGTCTCCCTGATTGTGTTCTAAGGTGGGCAGCTGGGGAAGATGCACGGGGGCTAAATAGTGGCTACTTTGCTTCTTGCAAGTGGGTTTTAATGACTTTTCAATAATGGATTTCAAATGCTGTTTTGGCTTTCCAGAATATTAAATTACACATACAAATCATTTTAGAGCCAAATATATTAGAGCTTAAAATGTGATATTCACTTATATGGGAATAGATACCATGCATGACACACCGTTTATGACACACATAAATATAGAAAGAAGTATTCTAAAACTGAACAAAACACAGACCAACTCGAGATATGTATTTGTCACTCTCGATGTTACTAATCACTCACAATGTTGCAGGTATGAACACATCTACTCCCAAGTCTTATTAAACTAGGCATACAACAGGTGTTGATAACTAAAGTCCCCTGTTCAAAGGAGACAGACTAACCATAGAGCCTCTCTGAAACCAGCTTACACTAATATTGAAAGCAGCACATTAACAAATAAAGAAATGAATGGGGAAAAAAATCTATTTCAGATCCTAGGGCTGGAGAAATCACATTCTATATCTTGACATAAATCTTCTATGTTCATTTTGAAAGCTCCGTAACTTAAAACAGCTTTAGCTAATAGAATTTAAGTAAGAATATTCTTTTAAACATTACTTTGCCAGTTTTCTATAGGCATCATTTGGAAAGATTACAATTCAGTGAGAAGAACCTCTGTTATTCCACGAAATACTTGCTGAGACACACTTATACTCAGAAAATTCTAGTATGTACAAAGTCAGCTACACAGGCAATTTATGGATTACAAACTCATCTCATAATTACAAATCTCTTCAAAAGTATTGATACCACGGGTTAAGAATTACAAAGAAATCTTGAAAAAGCATTTCCTGCTGACAGTGGATTTGCAAAACAGTGGTTTTTAATTCCCGAAGATAAAGAACAAAGGAGCATTATAGGTGGTCATTATATTACCACGCATGCATATTTACATATACGTATATGCATGTATTTCTTTGTGTGCTCCAAATATTTATAATAAAAATGTTTAATGTTAAAATTAAGTAACCAAGGTCAACATGAACACTGAAAAATCATGTTGATAGTATCCACTTTTGATATGTTATGATGAAATGGCATTTACTTCTGTGGTCTCCCTCCCCAAAACCCACATCCCCAGGCTCATCGTAACAAAAAACATCAGATTCCAATAGAGGGACGTCCTACAATATATCCTACGATGTATCTGACCAGCACTCCTCAAAACTGTCAAGCTCATCAAAAACAAGGGAAGTCTGAGATACTGTCGCAGCTAAGGAGACCTGACAACTAAAAATAGTGTGGTATCCAGAAATTTAAAAAAAAAAATTTGGTAAAACTAAAGAAATTTGAATAAATGATGGCTTTAGTTGTTAATAATAGGGAAAACTGGGTACAGAGTATATGGGAATTCGGTACTACCTTCTCAATTTTTCTGTAAGTTTAAAAAACAAAGTGTATTATTTTTCAAAAGGAAAAAAAAGATGTCTTTAATCAAGCAGTACTTTTCTCTATTTTAAAAATGTTTATGCACCAGAATTATAAAACCTAACTTACAACAGGGAAAAAAAAGTGTGACAATGAATATATGTATGTTCATGTATAACTGAAAAAAATAAAAAATTAAAAAATTAAATTAAATTAAAAAAGTTAAACAAACCTAACTTACAAAGGCAATTTATTTGTGTGCATTAGTCCATTTGTATATTTCTTTAATAAAATACAATATTCCTTTAACAAACTATGCACTTGATAAAGGCACGGGCTCTAGAGTCAAATGGCAGGTATTCAAATACTGGCTTTGACAATTTTCAAATAATCTTTGAGCAAATTATCCAAGTTTTATAGTTCTGCCTCTTTTCATCTAAAACTGGGGTAACAATATTATCTACTTGACAGATTTTTGTTAAGGACTGAATTAGGTAAGACATGCAAATCATTGATATCCAATAAGTATTCTATAATAATTGCCGTTAGAATTATTATTTTTATGGAATGTGCTGTTTCAGCCGTAACAGAGTAAGTGGTATCACTTACTCACCAATATGACCATTAAATCTGGAAAATTCTGTGTGAAAATGTTGTTTGCAGGTCTAAGACAGTAACCAATGCATGTCAACAATCCTTGAAAGTAGAGCCCGTCAGATCACATTCAGTCCAGATATCTTGCTGAGAGAAGAAGTTTTCGAAACTATAAAGAAGAGAAATAGAGCCCAAGGAGAGAAGGGTGGGGGTTCTGGATGGAAAAGGCACAGATTACAGTGTAAAGCAGTCAGAGTGGCTTGGATTGTGCAAACAACATCCCTGAGCAAGGAGAGTTGCAAAGATTTTGCTAAAAATTTTGCCTAAAACTTTGCTAAAAATTCCTCTTCTTTGGCCAATTCCTAAATGGTGCCTGCACAGGACAAGATTCCCTGGGGCCTAGCCGAGAATAACTGCTGGGAAGCTGGAGGCGTGAGTGGAGACATCAGAGGCTGCACTACACAGAGAAGGAGACGAGATGAGGGTAGCTGGAACGAGGAGACCGTGGTGAAGAGTCTCTGAAAAGCCACGCCTGCAGCCTGAGAATAAAGGCAACTGAACTACAACTGCCTGAACAAAATCTCAACAACTCTGCAAGAGCATGGTGATCTTCCAGGAATACAGATGCTTCCCAAATTTTAATGTTCTTTGGAGGAAGCTGAAATAAGCTAGAGCCTTTATGATGTTTTGTAACTAACATACCTATGGCACACAATAAAACATTACTAGACAAGTAAAGAAATAGAAAGCAAAGCAGCCCAAAAAAAAATTACCCATCAACAAGGAAAAAATTAATTTAAGGAGGTTCAGAAATGATCCATATATTGAAATTACCATACAAGGATTTCAAAAATAACTATGATTAATATATTTA